GCAACAATTTAAAGAATAAAGACAAATCATTAAGATAACAGAAATTTTTTGATAAATACATTAGTACCTTTAATGATTTATTTTCATTTATTGTAGGTTAAATAATTTGGAGGCCTTAAGTGTGCTCGAATATTTGTAGAAGATGGATATTCTCGTTTGAACCCTCACTTATATATATATATATATATATATATATATATATATATATATATATATATATAAGAGAGAGAGGGGGTGAGTTATTATGCAACCTTTTACATTTGTACAACCAATACAACTCAATCTCAACCGTCCATTTAATTTGATAAATATGTGATTTCATAAAAGTTTTGATTGTTTCCTAATATAAAGTATTGATTATAATTAATGAACCCTAGTCATGTTCCATAAATATTTAAATTATAATAAATGAATTCTCATCATTTTCATAAATATCTCAATTGATTAGGTTGCATTGGTTGTACAAATGTAATGTGTTACATTTGAAACGTCTTATATATATACACGTATATGTATGTATATGTATATGTATATGCATGTATGTATGTAGGTAAGTATATATGTATGTATGAGTCATTCAAACTTTAAAGTAGAACTCAGTAATTTGTGATAATCGTGAAATATAATTTTAACCACAAATCAAATGATTAATTAAGAAATTATTAATTTTGGTAATATTGACTTAAAATTTCAATTAAAGGGTATATGTATTTTAAAAATCTTATCTCCCCTCTTCTCTTTGACGTGATACATGTTGTGATACATTAATTAAGACTATCCTCTCTGTATATCTATTGAAACCTATTGTATACACTATACAGGTTGTAATACCCTAAAATACAATACGTGATACCTACTAAACACACTGTGATATCCACAGTATAGATGAGAAAGAGGTGCAACAGTGTTGAAGGGTATTAAGGTTGCCTAAATCAATTAGGTACAAGGAAAAATAAATATAAGATTGATACAAATATGAAAATTGAATATATGGAAATGGAATAAAATGTTACCAAATTTAAATTACAAGGTTGTTATAAAAAAAAAACAAAATCATTAATTTATCCTTTATTATTAGTTAAAAATATCCTTAATTATCTCAAATGGATGACTCACAATAGATCTCATAATTATCATAAATTATAAAATTCTCATTTAATTATATCTTTAAAATTATGTCATTTAAGAAACAAATCGAATACATTTTTTTGATGCAAATTGCCATGCTTATAAATTTTAACTACTAATCATTTTTGTTTTCACACAAACAAACTACTAATCATTGGCCATTTGATCATTTTGCTTTTGTCAAACATTTATATGCTCGGATTACATATATCTCGCACGTTTAAATTAAAAAATGGAAAATAAAAGTAACGATAAAGTCGTCGTTTACCAAACACTAATTGGTAAGGTAAGAGTCATCATCTTTACTTACGTAATTATGTAAGATTCTCGACCATCAAAATGATTCGTTTTGGTTTCTCAAGGTCATATATCTCTTATCGATTTCTCCGTCATTGACATGCTCACCTAGTGAGGTAAATGGCCTCGTAAACACTTACCCAGTTAGCGTTTGGCAAACTGTGCCTAACTATCTAGTCCGATTTTCACAAATCGATGGTATTCCACGAAAACAATCACTTTACCTTTTTAGATGAAAGACAAGTCTCTGTACATCTCAGCTTGTTTCCATCTCTGGATAATGAGATATACTGAATTCGGTTGAGTTGGTTATCAATATTCGAATGTCAACAGTGTCTAATGATACAAAAACCAACTCAAAGCAATAGCAATAGCAATAGCAATAGCAATAGCCAAGAAAAACCTCTTAGTGAACCCCTATTGGGAGCAAGCCATTAATTTCAAATTCGATGATGATACTTCTTTCATATGAGAAATAAAAGAAACTGGTATAGTAAAAATGTTACCAAATAGTTGATATAGATATATATATATATATATATATATCATCAATCTCTCAAGTCTAGTCACTAAACTTGTTATAGAGATACACACATATACCATGAATAAGCAAGCAAGCAAAGCCATATGGTTTTTATGATGATGATGCACCAACAGGTTGTTTCAATTTGGTAAGAATCAAGTGCCCTTTCACTTAAAGAGAGCCAAAGTAACTCAGTGTAGGGTTATGGCGAAGGATCGTGTGAGAATAAAAGTTGTAACAACGAGAAGCGTAAGAAGATATCTGAAACCCTTGATTACTTTTAATTTCATACTCACCCATGAATTGCACTTTCGAAGAGAACTGATCCGATCCACCTCATTAGTGTTGACATTTAAATATGATTGATCCAATGGTGGAGATCTCTTTTTACGCTTCTCACCATAACTTCTCTTTTTACCGGAACCCAACCCTTGGGATTATATACATACATATATATATATATATATATATATATACATACATACATATGATATTTTCCTTGCATTCTAATCATACAATTAATTTTGTGATCATATGATTATGTGGTGGTTTTTGTTTCGTTTGAGGTTTTTGGTGCACTGATTTGTGCTTTAGAGTTGCATATTTGTAATGGCATAGAGCTAAGAGCATAAGCAATGCACTCATGGTCATGGAGACTTTGATGGATTTCCATAAAGCCCCTAGTATTATCCATTCAATCATGAGCCTTGCATTTTAGGTATCATAACCTACAAGTTTATCTATACGTCTTTCTTTCAAGGGGTAAACCACCCAATAAAATTGGCCGAAATAACCATTCATTTTTCATAAATTGGTCTCATAGTCGTTCCTCTCTTTAATTTATCTAAATATCACTGCTTGCACAAATGACACCTCCCTTAGTTACGGACTTAGTTAAATGACATTTTATTTTTCTGATTTCAACCCAGGATCTTAAGTCATAGAGGTAGCATAGCTAAAAGGCAAAAAAATAAAATCACAAGTTCGGCCCACGTCTGTAAGTGCTACCTCCATGACTTGCGGACCTGGTTGAATCTGAATTTTTTTGTCTTTTAGCTAGGTCCATAAGTGGTTGAGGCAACACTTACGAAGATAGCGACATTTGGGTAAATAAGATAGATAAATGGTTAGGAGACCAATTCATAAGAGAGAAATGACTATTTCTGGCTTTCTGCCAATTTCCCATAAAAGTGAAAAAGTAATAATCATGTATCAGAGAAACTAAAACTTGTTCCTTAGCATGTATTTAACTTTTTTGGTTCACAACTGGATAGCCAATAACTCTATGTTCTTATCTATTTCAATCCTAAACCATTGAATACTCTATTAGTTTGATCTCTATTTCTGAATTTGTTTCCATTTTTTATTGATTAAGATTGTGTTTGGTACAAGAGACAAGACAGGACAAGACAAGACAAGACGGGACAAAACTCATTGTCCCACGTTTGACGCAGCATGGGATAGAACAAGAATTCATTGTCTCATGAACAGGAACAAGAACTGGGATAAGATGGGACATCATTGAACAAAAGAGATTTTTTCTTATTCCACCAAAATAGGTGGAACAAGATGGACAAAAATGAGACAGAAACTAAAATATTACTAATCTACCMTAGTTTAATATATAATATTAATATGGTATTTGTTTTAATAGTCATCACCGCTAGTTTCGGCCACCGCTACCACCGGCGGTCAGCGGCGACCACCTCCGCCTCCTCTTCCACTACAACATCCTCCATGCTTCCACAACCACCGTCCACCATCATCTATCGCCACCTTTACCATAGTCTACCATTGACCACCACCATCCATCGCCACCACCATTACCGTCGTTCGCCACCTCCAACTCCTCATCTACTACAACAACCTCCTTCATCACCTCCACAATTACTGTCGACCACCGACTACCACCGTCCATTACCACCTTCACAACCACCATTGGCCACCGACCACCACCACCCATTACCATCGTTGGCCACCTCCAACTCCTCCTATACCGCAACAACCTCCTCCATGACCTCCATAACCACCGTCGACCACCGTTATCCATTGCCACCTCTACAACCATCATCGACCACCGACCACCACTACCACCGCTGGCCACCTCCAACTCCTCCTCTACTGCAACAATCTCCTCCACGACCTCCACAACCACCGTCGTCCATCGACCACCATCCTTCATTGCCACCTCACATCCACCATAACCACCACCACCATTATCTTCACTATATCAGTCACAACTACCTCCTCCACCGTTGTCAACCGCCATCACCACCACAACCCACCATCTTCACGTCATCTATAACCACCGTCGTYCACCAACCACCATTGCCTCTACCTTCATAACCACCGTTGTCCACCAACCACCACCGCCCATCGCCACTACTACCGTCAGCCACCACCACTCCACCATAACCAAAACCAACTCCAGCACCACCACTACCACCATCAATTATATCATTCAAATTTGCTACCACTATATATGTATGTATTCATTTATATGAAAATTGTATAAAAATATTTATTAATTAAATTCTTTTTTATCTACTTTATTTGTGTTAATTATAACTATTATATGATATTTAACATCAAATAATTTTTAGAGGTAACTTGTCTACTTTTGTCCCGTCTAGTTCTAGTCGTACCAAACACCAGGCATATAATTGTTCTGTCCAGTCCTACTCTATTGTCTTGTCCAGTTATGTTATGTCCAATTATGTTTACGTACCAAACGCTACCTAAATGCATTATGCTTTGTTGTAAATTATCATATTCTTGATCATTAACTTCCCTAAAAGTATAAATATTTTCCTTTTGTGTTGTTTGTAATTTGCTTTTAGTGATTGTTACTCAAAATCATAGATGCTTAAAAAAGCCAAATAAGATCCATAGTTAATTTTTGATTTGTAAAACATCCTATTTAATACTAGGGAGTTCTAGATGCATAAGAAAATAGAAATAGAAATTGAAAACCTAGAATAAGAAGGAAAAAAAACTGACAATAAATATCAAATACTAAAAATTGGAAAAAAAATATGAAATCAACCAGAAAACCAAGAAAATTCCACAGGTAGATTGTAGAATTAGATCATATATACAACCTTAAAGCAAATCCAAGTGCATAAGAACATATCGATGAAAGGACGTTGTGGTTATCCCGCAGTTGTGAAGAAAAATATAATACATGTTTGTTTGCGGAGCGGAGAAAAGAATCACAAAATAGCACACTTACCACTTTCCGCTCTCTTTCGGAGCTCCTCTGTCTCCCTCTGGGCTCTCTCTAGATTCTCTCTCAGCTGACGGATCTCATCGTTCGACTGCTTTTGAGCAGCCTGGGCCATCTCTTCAGACTTCAACCGTGCAATCTGCTCTTCCGCCAATTGTTTTTCAAGTCTTGAAGTTGTTTCCTTGAGCCTCGACTCCACCTTTAGATCAATAATACCACCACCAACAATTTAAGAACAATGCAAATTTTAAATTTAAACTAAAATCATACAAACGAAAATCTCTAACAACTCTTTCAAAATATTTATTCACTGAAAGGTGTCTAGTAACTCCCTTCAATTACTTGCTATTTTAGGATGGCCTAAAGCCAATACAAGTTGCAGCTGCAAGAGGTAACCGGGGTGCTGTTGAGATTCTTTTTCCTTTATCATCTCCTGTGGAAAGCGTTTCAGATTGGAGTGTAGATGGTATCATTGAATATATGCAATCTGAAGTTGCCAAGGAACAGGTACTTACTCGAATCTGGTTCTGCTTTGGGCATCTATCAGATTATATTTAGAGTGGTTGTAATTCTATATGTGGTAGCATTCAACTTCAAAAATTATATGTAATTTAATTCTACTCGTTATCGAGCAAATTATTGCTTATGTGTGCTTAGTGCAATATGGTTATTTTTCCAATGAAGATGTATAGTTACATTGAGGTCTTTTTAGTTATAATAAATAAGCCCATGCAATGCATGAATAATCATCAACAGAAGTAATGAAGTATTCTAACTAAGGACTCCATAGGACAAGTGCCAATACATCATGATGAACTAACTTTTAGATGATTGACACAATAAGAAATCCTAGGACAGCGTGAATCACATGCTGCACGGCTTATAAATGCAAGCTAAAGGGGCCATTTACGAAACGCTTACCTGGTACGCTTACCAAGTCACTTATCGGATGAATATGGCAAGGACCGAGAATCTTATCCGGTAAGACCCATGGCAATGAACGAAAGTCTTACCCGGTAATGAGGGTGATGAACTCTTACCCGGTTAGCGCTTACTAGGTAAATTGTTGCATACGTTGCGTTTTGGTGGACTAGAATCTCACCCGGTTAGATAAGTGAGAGTTGTTAAGTCATATGCCAGCTTTTCAATAAGCTTCAAAGGTGTTTTTCACTTTTTCCTTATTATGCCACTTATGTTAGAATTAAGTAATTTTACATTGTCATCTAACTTATCAGCTAGTTTTACCAAACATGACTAATTTATTACCTAACAGGTATCTTATCAATTAACAGATTCTTTGCCCTAGAACTACCACTATGGTCTCAAAATTCCCAACTGAACTTGACAGCCCCAATTCTTTCAATTTAATTTACAGAATGAGCCATTTTGTTTTCAAAACAACTTCATATATGAGAAATAAACTTCAAAACTATACTTTAAATGAGGTGGAAAATTAGGTGTAAACTTGAAACTGTACTCTCTCAAGTCACAAGTTACACAAAACGCCATTTCCTCTACAATTACCATGGTTTCCGGTTTTCACACGTGCTCTACACCCCCCCCCCGGGGGGGCCAACCTCATTAGAGTCATGTTATACATTTGACTCCCATTTTTCTTCCTTCATTTTAAAAACTCAATCCCTGGTAGTTTCTGAATTTAAAAAGATTGACATTATGTTTTCCCTTTTTTAGCTCAGTGGTTGTCTAATATAGTATCAGTCTTTTAAGATAAAAAGTAACCTATTGTCATCCAGAGGTCAAATATGGACTTGTGTTTTGGTATGCTGGTGGTTCTCTATTAATAAAAGCACGATGTCAGACACATTGTGTTCTCGAAACATTTTTTTTACAATGGAAAGAAAAGGACAGAAAAGAAAAGAGAGGGAAATGAGGAGAAAACAAAAAAGGCATGTGTTCTAGAAACATTTTAGATGGGAAAGGGAAGAGGGAAAATAAATGAGAAGTTTTCTGCCAAAACTTTCCTCCCAAATGTGGAAAGAAAGGAAATGAAAGAAAAGAAATGGTACCCCTTGGACACAAATAAAAACATTTTTTATTTTCCTTTCAATTCTTTCCCTCCCTTCTTTTCTTTTCTTTTCTTCCCAAATTCAAGAACAGTGTTAGTTGATTTCCAATAAATATGCAGGCCAGCCCAAAATTAAAATGGCAGTAAGAATACCATTTCAGTGATTCGCTTAAGCTGCTCTTCATATGATCTATTCATCTTCTCTGTCAGATAGGATATCTCCTGTTTGCTATACCCCTGCAGAGCTTGAACTTGTTCTGTTTGTTCATGAAGCTTCATAGTCCCTCTCTGCCAAGTACATATATATATATATATAGTTGGTCTCATTCTTAGGTAAAAATAAGAGAAGATCACCAAACTAGCCATTTTTGGGCCAAAAAATCCAAGAAATAGCCATTCTTTAAAACAATATCAAGAAATAGCCAAGAATTCCGCATATTTTTGCTCCACCTTTTCTAATTCTTTGAGTCAAATGGGGGAGCATATCTCAGCCCTGAAAAGGAGATAATGCTTTCTGGGTCATATTTTGAAGGGGATTTGCGGAGCCAATTTGCATATTTACCGGGTATTTCGTGATAATGTTTAAAAAATGGGCTATTTGGAGAATTGTTTTAGACAAAATTGACTAGTTTGGTTATTTTCTCAAAAAATAAACATGCGACAACATGATAATCAAGAATAACGAGTTTCACCTTCAATTCACTAAAAATCTCATCAGTATATGGCTTGCCATTGTTCTTTGTTAATACCATGTTGACAAGAGAGAGGAGCTCATGCACTTGATTTTCTTTCTTCCTTTGATCTTTTGTCCTATTATCAAAAATGACACATCTATCCCCACACATGCTAAGGGTTTCCTGAACCAATAATCAAATATCAATTTGGCAATCATTTCAAGATTGAATATCAAGATATGCAAGATAGAAGGAAACACCAGCTAGTTCTGATGGTGCCAAATGCTGTGAAAAGGAAAACATGTAAATAATACCATCATCCATTTCCAAAAATATCCAATACTTACAGAGACAAATAAGTAACATGGAAATATATGGAAATATCCCATTTCCATATATTTTGATTGCAAGAGATTAACAACGCAAATTTCAGAAGATAATGCAGCAGTATGAATTGCCCTTTAAATATCATCCAAGTGCATTATCACCATTTACGACATTATCTGAATAGAGAAGGAATGACTCAAATGAACACAAACACAGGTATTATCATTAAAAATGCAAGATAAAAACCAACCCAAACATACCCAAAAAAATCCCACTCGGAAGTAGGGTCCTACGCAGACCTCACCTCCACCCCTAGGGGTACAAAGGTTGTTTCCATTAAAACCCCCCTTGCAAAAGATTTAGATGACACTTGATAGATTTAGATGGAAAGCTTGAGACATTAGAAAGAAAAAAATACAAAAAACAGCATGCGGAGGTTCAAAGAAAAAAATACAAAAAACAGCACGCGGAGGTTCAAATAAAAAAAATATGCAGGGTCCAAATATTGTCTCCACCCACATGATGCAATAACGAGAAAAGTTCATTAGGAATGAAAGATGAAGACGTTAAAATAGGCAAAAACAAGGCTTCTATCACAACTATATCAGGTGATAGGTAGATGAAAACAAACAGAAATTACAAGAGGTGAAACCCCTAGGACTATGGCACATGAATAACATCTTTCCACACACCTATTCCAAGGAACACTCCTCAATGAACATATATCCCAAACTAGTTAAATTAATTATAAAGAGGTGAGATCAATTTAAAAAAAAATAAGAAATACAGTATAAATGCACTTTTGATATACAACAGACTCAGCACACAGTAAAAATCATTGCTCCAGCAATACAAAGGTGAACATAATCAACTTTTTTTCATGGAATAGATCTCCTAATCATGAATATACTACACCTGAGAACAACCAAAACACCCATTAAGCCTTGAAGCAGTGAAGAGAACAACCAGAATGCAAAATTTTGACTGTAAATGCCCAATGTTAACTCACATGTTCCTTCCCTTGCAAAAAGAGATTGCAAAAATTGGGTACCATGCCAAAAAAGTGTGAGCATAGCATCATACATGATGTTATGTTACCAAAAATGTTGAAGACATGTATTTTATATGTTCTTGAGAATGTACACAAGAGAGTTATATAGGTCATATCGTTCTAGATAAGATTATTGGTGCAAGTATGTAGTTTATTAACAAAATATAAGAGTGCTAAGGAGAGAATCTCTTGAGAGAGTATATATGCTGGAAGGCATTAGGACAGTGAAAACTAAAGCCAGGTAACTTTTGTAGCATAATCTGTATGAAAAAGAACTAGGAAGAGAAGGTTGGTGATTGCAAGTATAAACAAGGAATAGGATTGTAGATATAGGAGATCTTATTGAAAGATGTATTTATCACTAATATTTAGTGACTTTTAAAACAAACACGATAAGGGGTGACGCATGGCCAAGGCCGCCAACACAACTTTGACTTGATGAAACTAATTGTAATAACCAGTCCCACAGGATGGAAGATTAGATTGAGCTCCCTTATAAGACCAAAGCAGCATGTTGGCCCAATAACCTCCAAATCAACTTAAAACCATGGTGGAAGTTATTGGTAGTGAAGATTAGATTGAGCTCCTTATAAGCTCAAAGTTTTGGGCTATCAATGACTTCCACTATGGTTTTAAGTTGAATTGGAGGTTATTGGGCCAACATGTTGCTTTGGGCTTGTGGCATTACACTAACATCACAAGAGACCATCCAGGACATGAGATTACCCAAGAAACACACATTTTATGGACTTGGGATATAGTTTAGGAAGAACTGGCATAATTTCATGAGCAAAGGGAACACATACATAGATTTCTGATGAAGCAAAAACAAATAAGAAATGATACAACATGGTATATTGCTAACCTATCTGTACAAGATAGTGAACACTGGTGGAATTATTCTAAGTCATGACTCATCAAGGAACTGAATGTGAACTGCAGAAAGGCACGAGAAGTGGGAAAAGAATAGTACTAGTTTAGTAATCTGATTAATAGACAAGCTTTTCAAGAAATATGGACAAATGTAATAATGTTGTAACGGTAAATCAGGACAAATGTCGGTTAAACCAACACATTGATACGTAAAGAGAAATGTTGGCACATTCATACAAACTACATGGGTTCCAAATGCAGAGTCACATAGAAGGTTGTGCCCATATGGAAATTTTTTATGATATCATTTACTTGAGAATAGCATAGTAGTTTAGAAGGCAAGTTGCAAGTTCTCTTTTTCTTGGCTTGTGTGAGGCTATGTAAGAGTATATGAGCACATAACACCAAATCTGTGAAAGCATTTCCAAGATTTAACAAAATAAGTAAGTCTACAAATAAAGAAAGCATTGCATAAGAATGTGTTGGCATGCTCCACCTTTAAGGGCACAGGACAGTCTCCTAAGAAATCTTCCAAAGTCTGCTCATTCTCTTCAAGTTCATCCCCACCAGTAAAAACCACTATCATATAATCATTAATTTTGTTCCCAAACAAAACCCTCAAGCTACTTATTGCAGATTCTTCTTCTTTTGAAAACCGATTTCGGACTGAGAGGACAACAAGAACAGCATGTATACCCTCCCTGGCCATATTGATGCATTTAACAATCTCCTTCCCAATGAATTCAGTATCAACGGAAGAATCAAACAATCCTGCCATTGTGTTAGGGTTAGCTGTCTGATAACAAACATAAATAACTAAAGACTGAAGAAAATTATGTCATATGCCATATTTTCCTGCATGTATATATTTCAACTATCCATAGGTTCTTTAACTTCTGAATGCTCCTTGTTTTTTAGATACATTGCAAAATGACCGAATTTCCATATATTTTAGGAAGCAACAGATCAACAAAATGAAAACCTGCCTACCGTCCCATCCTATGTTTTACTTTGGCTAATGTTGATACCTGGAGTATCTATCACATTAAGCATCTGGCCATCTTTCAGCACAGTTGTTCTCAGCTCTGAAGTACTAGTTACACCAGCTGAGCTAGCCTTTGATAGGAATTCCTTCGTTCCAAGGATACTATTCCCAGTTGCACTTTTACCATTACCTGTCCTTCCAACCAAAACAAGAGTTCTAAGTCCATTCAAAGGAGCAGCAAACTCCCAATCATCATCGATTGAACTTCCCCCCATCATATGACAGTGAATATCTAGAAGAGAATTTCAAAATCAGTGAGAAGTCCACCCTTACAAACCAACAGAAGAGTGTTGATAAGTATGGTCTGAAAGCATAATATTAAATAGAAAGCAGTTGATCGATACACATTAGCTGCCTTATGAATCGTCATATTACAAAAAGAAGGTGCAAACAAATCAACTAGATAGCAAATGATTTGATGTCAAAGAAATGAACGAAATTTCAAAAGACTGATATTAAAAAACAGATAACAAGTTTAAATCTAAAGTCGCGTGGCAGAAATACAAAACAACCACCCAAAGACGATCAAAATCGCAAAAACAAGTCAATCCTCGATAATCAGGATGATCAATAATTCTATGACCTTGACTGAGCAAATGAATATTGAAGTACTGAATTATAAACATGCAATCCAAAGATACAACAAGAAATCAGTACCTTGGGAGGTAATATTTCTAGGGTTTTAAGTTGAATCGAAGAAGATGAACAATCAAATTATGATCCAATAGGTGCTACAATTTATGTACTTCGATAAGACGTCAAGAATCGCGTGGTTGGTCAAACACAACTTATAGCATATCCGATAGAACGGTGAAAACGAAAATTTTGTATATTTTAAGCGATTTTTTCTCAATTGTTTTCCGAATTGAGAAAATGGGGGCAGAACATAAAAACATTGAATTAAATCTTAATTTCTTGTTGTTTTCATTAATGAAATTGATTTTTTTTTAAACATTAAATTTATAATCAATTTCGCTCATTAATGAAACTGATTATATTATTATTTTGATAAAATTTGTTTAAATGGAAAAAGTTAAAAAAACAATAATTTTTTTATTTTAAATGATCAAGTCTTTAAACATTTTTTTATATACTAGAAAGATATTCGCGCACTGCAGAGAGATACATCTTGATTTTAAAATTTCATTTTATTCTTTATCTCAGTCGATGTTATAATATGGTCTTATGTAATTTTAAGAAAGCGATGATGTTTTTACTTTTAATTAAAATATAAGTTTGAAAATATCATAAAATTTTGACAAAAATATATCGATATTAGTATCAAATTAACTATTTAAAATTTCTCATTTTTTATGTAATTTTTTAATTCAATTTTTTTTATAATTTAATTTAGGTACAATAACGAAATAATTTACAGTTGATTTAATAATATAATTTTTTTATAAA